CTGGCCCATGGATATTTCTGGACAAGATCATTCTGGACTAGAAAGGTTCAACCTGTATATTAAAAGTTCCAGCTTTGGGAGGCAAATTATTTTTAATGTGCTGCTCCAGTGCCCCAATTCTTTCTATTGCCGCCAAGAGGATCTAGCATCCTGAATTAACTGACAATTTTGAAAGGTTGTAAACAACATATTAGATTCAAGGCCAGTTGAGCCAGCCTCAATTTTGCAGATTAGTGTGAATAGGTCAACAGCAGTAAATTTAGTGCTATGGTACTGAAGTTTCTCATGTAATTGAAGAAATACAGCATATGTATTACCTGTCTTTATTAAAAAATACTTTATTAAAAATGCCAATGTTCTTATTGGTAATAAAAGTTGAGATGCATACATTTAGTGATTTTTCTAAACAATACAGTATAGTAGCATCTGAACAACAGCAAACACAGATACAGTGACAGGAGAATCGTCATATAAATTGAAACACTTAAGAATATCTGAATATATTTTATATTTTCTTGCAGCTATACCTACTTCTCTCAAGCTTCCTCCACTATAAATGACCTGCAATACTACCATAGATCAGGCCTAGTATTTGGCATAGCCCAGGGATGGGCAATAATTTTTGAAATGGGAGCCACTTCACACATTTCTGAAGTGGCTACAGGCAGCCTCAGAAGTGGCAGGGCCTCGGATGGAAGAGGTGGGGCCAGGAGACTTCCCATGCTTCCCTGCCCACAGACCTTGATTGGCCTGGGGGTGGAAGGATCGCATGAACTTTTTGCCCTGCCCCCCAGCACCTGAAGAAAACCACCAGCTCCCCCTCATCCTCAATTGGCACACGGAGGCTCTTACCCACCCCTGAGGTAAGGAATGGAGGTGCAGGAGGGCCTGTGAGGGAGTTTGAGTGAAGGAGGCAGTTGTGACCTGGGGCACAGGACCAAACTCTGATTTCAGCTACACCATTACAGATCAGGAGCGATCCTATAGATACTTCAGTATACTTAGGGCTTGTCATCTAGAAAGTTAAAAAATGTGCTCATTCTAATATACGTTATTGGGAAGCAAAATAAGCTATACTGATAGAAGGGGCCTCTGTACTATTACCTCTGCCTCCAAACTAAGGTTCATACCAGTATAACAATTTCTTTTTTTTTTTTTTTTTTTTTTTAAAGCACACCTTGAATGGACAGTTAGATCAGCCAAACTTTTTTAGACTGGACTCTAGTCTTGATTTAAACAGATGTAAATAAAATCTGAATTTGCTCATAAATCAGTTCTCATAGTAACATCTGTGCAATACAATCTTCATTCCAGAGGCTTTGCAGATGGCAGTGGATTGGCACAAATATAATAGAGGAGACCATAGTAAAATGCTGTTTCTAATACACAGGAAAGAATCCAGCTCACTCCTTTTCAGTTGTCTTGATTTTGCAGTCCTAACAGAAGTGCTAAATATGTAGTTAAACTGTTTTACCTGTGAAGTCAGTAACAACAGTACTGAATGTGCCGAAAATTTTTTGTCATGTTACTATAATAATTTTTCAGAGGAAAATTATGCTTTAATAGACTCTCTATGGAGTAGGAAATACTACTGAAAAAAACAGACCTGAACAATATGGAAAAACAGTGGTTTTAGTTTATTCCCAAAGGCATATTTCATGCTTCAGCATTTATAATCTCACTAGAAGATTCACCCAGTGTTGTTTGGATCCTTAATTAATTTTTGTTTTTTGGAAAACAAAATGAAAATGTCCATGCTTCATTTAAATCATTGCTCTGGGTTGAGTGTGAGGGGTTCAGTATGCAGTCTACACTGGGGAGAGAGGATGATCCCAACCCACTCTCACCACAGCAGCTAGGGGCCAGGTGAGAAGTGCCTCTTCAAGGCCAATGCACCTCCAGCAAGCATAGCTAGAGGAGGGGTGCATATCCCCGCACTGAGGGACAGACAGAAACAGACACCCACACTCTCTGGAATATATAGTAGATAGCTGTCCCTTTCTCCACTCCTGCCCCCTGCTGGCCCAATGGTTGTATAGCTGTCCTGGTGCCCATCTCTGGCCCCTTGCTGCCTACCTATGGTCATTCTACACTATAATTATTCCTCTTACCAGACCTCTCCCTTTCCATTTTATGAGAAATAACTGAATTTCAAGCACATCCCATTGTCCTTCCACAACCAAACCCTTACCTTGCTTCACATTATAATAAGTGGAAGCTGCATACCAAATTTGTTGTTCCTAGCTCTTACTGTTTAGGAGCTATTCTTGAACAGATAAGCAGACACACATTTCTAAAACACATAGTTAGATTAGCACACTAATGCTAAGGTAAGTCATGGGAGTGGGAAGTCAGGGATCCTACCAAGCTGAGTGACACTTTTGGGAGATATTCCATAAAGCCAAAGCCCACAAATGAAAATGCATTAAAAAAATGTTTCAAAATGTATAAAATTCTATACGTTTTTTTAAAAATCTGATTTTGTAGTTATAAAAATAAGGGAGCAATAACACTGTCTAGAGCAAAGAAAGTTACAATTCAGTTCTGCTAATACAAATCAGCCCTGACCTGGAGCAACCCTGCTATTCCAGCCCTGTGCTGCTCTAGATTACAACTGCCAATCACGTGGATCAATGTGAAATTGTGGGGTGTTTATGAGGTGGACAAATATCCATGAAGGGCAAGGCTGAGACCACCAAATCTCATTTTTTACTGGTGACCTAAGCTGAAAGGAATCCCAGGTGAAAGGCTACTGTATTAACCCAGGTTCTGATCATTTATGATAATCAAGAACAATAGATTGCCTTTCCCAAAGCACTGTTATGAGTAGTGCTGCACCTCAGCTGACCTACTTTTTTATAACTATGTGCAATAGCATTAGCTCATCACACAGAGAGAGAGAGTGAAACAGCACAATTTAAGGATATGAAAGCCACCAAAACTTCCATGCAAACAATGATCAGAATTAAAGAAGTTCATGCACAGCATCAAATACACTTACATGTCAAGTGGATTCATTGTGATTTTAGTTGAATCACAATATGGGGGTTCTGGAGATCAGGTTTAACATGGCTGCAAAGAAATCTGGGAAGGGGTAAGAGAGGAACAAAGAGCAGAGACTGGGAATATAGGCTTGGGGTTGGGACAGCAGGGATGGTCACAGAGAAATGTGGCATGGAGCAATGTTTTCCCTCTATCAGCATGGTGTCCCTGAGGTAGGCAAGAAGAAGCATAGGTGGATTTAGAGGACACTGGCTAGAGTAGGATAAACAGGTTGCAGGAAATCCCAAGAGAACAGGACAAGGCACAAAAAACACATAGATGGGGAGCGGGGGGAGAGGTCATGAAAAAGGTATGCAGGAAACCAGGAAAGATTCTGGGACAAGGCTCTACCTGGGGTTTGGAGAACCTGTTCTATTACTCTAATTTTATTAGCTGGCTGGCCGAGTAGATCATTATTTGTATAACTGTGGTAGGGTGGACATTATTTTCAGTTGTAAGTCAAATTAATTAAGATGTGGGGAGCTTTTATGGCAGGAGTTGTTTTATTGCTATCTAAATATAAGGAAATATCAGCAATGACAGCATAGGAGGCATATGCAGGGAACCAGGGAGACATGGATGTAGACAGTGAAAGAAGAAGTAATTAGTTTTCAATTTATTGTATTTTTCCAATTAAAAGCCTCTCCACTCCCACCTATCACACCCAGGGTTAACTCCCATTAGCACGATACACCTCCTAAGGATTTGATATCAGCAAAAAGGGAAACAATATTTGGTGGACCTCAGAACCCATGGCAGAGCAATGCTCTCTTCCTGCAAATCTTCCATGCTACCTGCGATTTAAACTCTTAGTTTCATTAAAAAGAAAAAATGAAAAAACAAAAACAAAAATGTAATTAACAGGCGTTAAGGTGGTAAGTGTAATTGAATGGAGTGCATCTACCAACATCCCTTTCAGGCAAAAAAAAAAAAATCAATGCCCAAACCAAAAATTCATATAAGTGATACACTGCTTTTGTTAATTTCATCACTATCTTAGATGCAAATATTCCTTTGCTCCCCTTTTTTTAAAAAAAATGCACTGCCTCTCTTTTTTCCTCCTGATTTCTTTGTTCCTCTTTTAAATTTAATCAGAATACTTTCAGTATCAATAACCATGTTTGTTTTTCCAACAGTATCAGAAATAAAGCCGAAAGTACATAACTATAATGTAATCTGCAGTGTCTTATTGGGACATATTACTTTTTGAAACGTCTAACACATTCATGCTACTTTTAAACTTAGAAACACACACACACACACACACACACACACACAGTGGGGGGGGGGAGGAGTTAAGCCCTGAAAATCCAAGTCAATAAACCAAGCAACCTGATCCAAATGCTACATAATAAATTAGTTTAAAGCCACTAGGAAAAAAGCCAACATCCCCATATCTCTTAAAATGTATTTCAATGTTCCAAGAGATAAAGATGGAAAAATCAGTCATTATTATGTTAAATATTTATTGCTTAAAACAATAAATATTTTCCCTAGGTGTTTCAGACTGTATTACTAAAACAGTCTTAGTAGTTATGCTGGAAAGCAACACACAGCTAAA